GGATTGGCAAGTAGCCAGCCAAGGACTAGAGAGGGAAACTTATGGCCTTGTATGAAATTAACCAAGAATGATCATGTCAGGCAGTGTTAGATACTTGGTTGCAAAGAGTAAGCTTCCCTTGAAGCCATGAGTGGCTATGAATACTTGTTAACTCTGCCAGCCTGGGAGGTGAAGTCTTGAGGACCAGGAGCTCAGGTCATTCCTTGTTCGGGAATTCAAGGCCAGCCTGGTTAGACATCCAGTCTGGAAACAACAGAGAAGTTTTCCGTTTAGGCCCTCCTGTTGCCTCCCCTGCCCTGGAGCCTGGCGTGTTCCCGTCCTCACATTGGTTGTCTGTGGAGTGGCAGACTGACTGGAGAGAAGGGGCCTGGTGTTCTGTCAGACTTGCAGTAAGTCAGATAAACGTGGAGGAGATGTCAGAGGGAGAAGCAATAAAAGCCATGGTGTGGGGAATGAGAGGTAAGACAATGGACGGTTTGTTTTGTTGTGTTAATGAACCAGAATTTGTTTACTGTGCAAAAGGACTTTGTCACCAATAATTCCCACTGCAGACTGACAGTGACATGTCGGTTCTCCCTGTGGGTGACTTCAACACAGCAAGGCTCTTGTCTCTGGGGGCTTTGGTCCTCTTCTGTAAATGAGGTGAAGGATCTGTAACCCTGGTCTAGGAATTAGTTTTCTCTGCACTTGGTCTGGGCTCTGGGAAATGCATGTGTGTTGTTGGGAAAACATGTGAGTGCAGTTGTACCCAGGACTGTTTCTAGTTACCCTTTCTGTCACAGGCTGGTTATTTTCGGGGCAGGTGAGACTAGGTTGTGGCCATACTGGTTCCCTCCAGTCAGGCTCTGCTGCTGGAGGGCAGCTGAAAGCTAAAGTTCTAACAGAAGGTTTGCACGAACATGTTTGTGGCTGCGCTAGTTTAAGCCTTTGCCAATCTTTCATTCTTTAGTGTGAATGAATAACTAATCAAGAGAACTCATGAGTCATAAAACCCATGCCATGAATGATGCCTTTTAGCAGGCCAGCGTACCTCAGTCCAGAGATTGGTACCTAGTTGGCCATTTGCTATATGTTGTTGTTATTATTTTTTAACAAAAGTTCAGTCCTTGGTTTTTCTTAGAATTGTTTATGTCCCTTCAAGTATCAACAAATGCTGTGATTTCAGTTTCTCCATTATTTAAGAACTACTCTTCACTAGAGAACCCTGTCCTCTTTGATGCTGTTGATGGGAGTAGACTGTACAGGAGCATAGCCTCTGGGGTGGGTTCGAAGGTCAAAGCTCACCTCCACGGGGATTAACTCTTTGTTCTCAACCTAATTGCTTCACTTTTGGGAGCTTTAGTGAAAACTAAATGACATGAGAACATCCAGACAGAATAATGGGCAAAGGGCAGAGTAGGAAACTTAGGAAGGAAGTTCATGAGAAGATGATAAATGAAAACCAGGACATGTTCTTTTCTGGTGAACTTAAGGGCAATGTCCTAGGGTGACCTTGTGTTCCTGTGTGTACTGTGACAAAAGACAGTCTGGCTTCTCCCTCTTCTGGGTGTGGCCACAGAGCCTCCACTAGCTGCTAAATGACTTCAGAATTGTGTGTTCTCTTTGCCATTTTCCTGAAATGCTCAGAAGATGGGAAAAGATAGTTGGCATGGTTATCACTTTTTATCGTAGTTGGGGGTCGGTCACAAGGGTCCATCCATGCTGTTAGTTGGCAGGAGTGGTCCTCTGTGGTAAGGTGGTAAGGTGTGTACAGAGCTGAGGAGACAGACTGCTTTATAGAAGACATGCCATTTCATGTCTGTGTATGATACAGCTGATCAGTTTTCACTTTTAAGCAGAGGTGTGAGAGAAAGCTCAGTGCTGTAATCGGTCTGGCAGCCCAGCGCAGCATCTGTCGGGTTAGCGTTAGCGGCAGGTTTCTCTGACTGGGAGAACCCCGGGGTCCACCAGCTCCTGCCCACTCTGCCTCTAGTTGCTTTGTGCTCCACCCATTCTTGTGTGCCTGCTACTCCCATGCTTCTGAAATTAGCCCTGCTGTGCAGCCCCCTCAAGGCCTGTCTCATCCCTTGCTGTCGGTTAAAGCCGTGCCATTTATTGCCTCTGCTCATCCACTGAGCAGGACTGTTTGGTGGCCTCTCCTTAACTTTTACAGGAACAACAGCATTATGCAGAGATGACCCTGGGTTGACGGTGTAGAGACTGTCAGCTTGCACTGGTTCATTGGTCACTTACCGCCTCTGCTGCAGGTGCCTGACCTCTGAAAGTAGATCTGACCCTTTAGCTGTTTCTTTTACTCTCTTGGTAAGTTGGTGGTTCTTGCTCTGCTGGTAGGATAAAGAGATTTTCTTTCCTGGGTTCTCGTCTATAAATGATGAGTATGTGGCTCTCTTTGGAATGTTGGTTGCTTTTCTCACCCTCCCTGGTGCTAGGGCACAGCTTTCCCCAGTACCTGGCAGTGCTGTGTTCTCGCTCTGGCAGCATAGTGAAGTTGTGCGACTGAGACAGTGGTCTGTACCCAGCCCTCACGTGCACCTAGGCGGGCCCCTGGGGCTGGCTGTGTAGTGAGCTAGCCACCTAAGCTGTGTCCTGAGCTGCACTGAGCTGCTCTGGTCGCCTGTAGTGACTTACAGCACTGGGACATTTCCTGAGATTTCCTCTCAAGTCTGACACTGACCACTATTTCTGAAGCTCAGGTCCCCTTACTCCAGAAAGTCTATGCTTCCTGTTGCTCTTCAGTACTTAGGAGAATGAGGTGGATTTATGTAATGTACATATTTCATGTAATTCACTAGCCCACATGTAAGTGGCTTTTCTGATATCTTTTTGAGAAAAGGTTATATGTATTTAATTGGTCCAGTTTCTGCCTTATAGTCACTGTTTTCAGTGACCTTGTCAGATGCTGAATGAGTGCCTTTGAGGCACTGTGTCTTGGTGTGTAATAGTGCATCAGAGACCTTGCCTGGAGCAGATGCCTATGATTGGGCCACCCTGACTAGGAGAGGAAAGTGAGCTGGTGTGTGTGTGTGTGTGTGTGTGTGTGTGTGTGTGTGTGTGTGTGTGTGTGTGTGTTGGGGGGGAGACTCCAGCTCCAGGAGCAGGGAAGACATGAAGTGAGGCTGCATTCAGTAATGCCTTGACTTCACTGGGGAGCTGCATGAGCAGGGAGGTCACGTGTAGGCTGGTCAGCTTGGGAGTGGGGCATTGTAGTGAGCAGTGAGCTTCAGGTTCTCGGGGTGGGTATGGGCTCAAGGCTTGATGAATGGAGAGGAGACTAGGAGATGTGAATGACAAGATGGAGGTAGGAGCCCAAGATGTGACTCCTGGGTAAATGTAGGGAGCAGGAAGAAACAGGGAAAGAAATTCTGGGGTTTCCCCATGCCCAGAACCTGACCTTCTGCAATGTAAAATCCAGAGAAGCAGTGTCTGTTAGACATTCTGAAACCGTTCAAAGCTAGTTTCAGGAGTTAGAAGTGTTAAACATGTGCCCTCCTTTTGGAGGTTCAGTGGGTGGATGAAAATGTCTTAGTCAGTGAAGGACAGAACTGAAGAAATGTGCTGTATTTAGAATTTGGTGCCAGAAGCAGGAGCCCCAGAGGAGAGCTGTTGAATGACATGGTATGTAGTGTCTCATTCCCATTTTACACAGGAGGAAGCAGCTTAGAGAGGTCAAGGAAACAGTCTAGCACTGATTAGCCCAATGGAAGATGTCAGACCAGCTTTCAGCCTGAACACAGGTCTAGGTTATCTCCATCTGCTACCCCTGTTTTTAAATTACATAATCTTTCCACTGAGGAATGTACAATTCTTTTCAGCTCTATTAAAGACAGGGCAAGGTGACCTGTTTATTTTCCCCTCCTTTTCTGAATGTTCTGCATGTGTTTATTTGAAGGATAAATACAGAGGTAGATTTAGTTTTTTGTTTTGTTTGTGGTGCTGAAGATGGAATTTAGGGTTCTTGCATGCTGGACAGGTGCTCTGCCACGAGATAAACTCTAGCCTTGTGATTAATTTTTTTAAAACGATAAATTCCATTTGAGCAAATTGGCCATAATGGGTTGTAGAGGAATAGGTGAGGATGAGACTATGTCCTGCCAGACACTGTGGTCTGCACTTCTGCCTGTGGAGACATGCGGCTAAATAGACTCATTGGAAGTACTTTTCCCTTTTAATTTTGGACATGAGAGGAAAACTAGTAACTGGGAACCAGTTCCTTAGACTCTGCCTGTTCTGTGGCTTGCAGATAGGAAACACTGGCAGGCATACTTTCCTAACCTGGTGCCATGGGGGACTCCTGAGGCTCCCCTGCCCAGGCCTTCTGGCCCTGCTGAACACTCTCTCTGGTAACCTGCCATCTGCCATTTTGCTGGAAGCTTTTCTCACCACGAACCACTTAGCTGCAAACTGTGTCTGCCTCTGTTTGTTTGAACAGGGCCCAGAAAAGGCTGGCAAGGAGCAGCCACAGATGGGAGGTGAAGGTGTTGGAGAAATGGTCCTCACCGGGCTCCCACAGCAGCAGGCCACAGGAATGGACAGTGATGAGGAGCATGCTTTGGCTGGCTTCTCTCTCCTCTGTTCTGAGATTGGTCAGATTTGAACAGCAGTGAGCAAGGCTCCGTTTCGAGGCCTCTGACTCTTTCTCCTGTGTACAATCATAAGTTGGACTTCTAGTCTTGTCTTAGCCTGATTGGGTTGGGGTGACTGATCACTTCTACTTTATTAGAAAGGTCCTGCCTTTTTTTCACTCCTAACATTGTGTGTTGGCAAGATTTCTGTGCTAAGTAGACTTCAAAGCAGAAAAGTTTATTTGGCCTGTGCCAAAAAAAGAGGCTTATTTAGTCCATGCTCACTTTGTCACATTGCATTTGGGCCTTGGTGGCTCCATACATCATGGTGGGAGCATGTAGCTGAGGGAGCCAGTCACCTAATGACAATCGGAAATGAGTTGGAGAAAGAGGACTAGATTGGGTCCCGCTTTCCCAACTCCTTCCACTAGAGCATACCTCCGAAAGGTTCCACCAGCACTGAGTAGTGGCGAGGCAGGGGACCAGGCCTTCGGAGGATCTTTGGGATCCAAGCCCCCCACAGCACCTTGGTACTGTGGGCAGTGCAAGGCATCTTGGTGCAGGCGTTAGGTCTGGCTTGGATGTGTTGCTGGCATTGTCGTCCCTGGTTGCCTGTTGTTGCCTGAGACCCTTGAAATGGGGTCGTGGCTCAGTGAGAACCGGTTGTCAGGGCTGCCCTGGTCACCATCAGGTGTTTGCTGACCAGTAGCTGCATAAGTGTTTACATATCTTTTAGAACTGGAAGGAACCTCTTAGCACCTTGAAGGAAGGAGGGTGTGGCCTGCATAGAGTTGAACCGACTGGGCGTGGTAGTGCGATGGTCTCCTGCGAGTGTGTAGGTAATAGGCCAGGACACAGCTGCTGGTTAGTACAACAGGAAAATCTTAAAATTGGTGCCATTTGACAACCGTGTTTTATGTGGGGGAAAAAGAAACTAAGACACAAAGTCAAGAAACTGAGGCCCCAGCATCTGGCTTGGTGAAGGTCACAGAGAAAGCGGAGGGTTCCTGCTCTGTCCTGATGGTATGGTAAACCTTTCTGGGTTCCAGGGCAAGTCTGCCCTAGCTCAAATCTTGACTCCCAACACTGGCCAGGAACTGGGGAAACTTCCCTTGTTTATGAGAGGGCCAGCGTGGGAGAATTCTTCCTGCCTCTTGCATCTGATTTCTAACTTATGGTACTTCTGTGGGTTGAAATGTATAAATATAAAATTTTAATAATTTGGTAATTTTAAATAAAATAATTAAAAATTATCTAAGATTAATCACTGAAAATATGACTAGTGCTCCTGAGTTCTTTTCATTCATGGTCCTGCACTCACTTGCATTGAATCCCAGCCTAGCCATTAAGCAGCTGTGTGATCTGGGGCAGGTCCAGTCACTTTGTGCTCAGTGTCTCCATGGGCCAGTGAAGGGAAGAGCATTTAGAAGAGCTGCTTGGGAGTATTGCCAGTTCCAGGTGCCAGCAGATGGATTTCTTACGTTACTTCTGTGTCTGAGAGCCTTTCTAAAAAGTGGCATGGCACTCTGAGCGAGGTGTAAGCAACCTGGGTGGGATTCGGACAGAGCCATGGGAGGGTGGAGGCAGGCTTGGAGGGTGGAGCCAAGCGCTGGGGCTTTATGCAGTGGCTCCATATAAGATTGGCAGTGGGGGCAGCGCTAAGGAACCTTCCGCAGTCTCTGTTACAGTTGGTGTTATTGCCCCAGTGACCATTAGTGTGTTGTACTTTCTTGGGGCATTCGTGTAGCTTGGGCACGGCAATTATGTTTGATAACACTTTCTTCTATGTTTGGTAATCACTTTCTTGCCCCAGCATCGCCTTTCCAAATATTTTAGTTGCGAAATAAGAAAGGAAGTTCCTTTTTTTTTTTTTTTTTTTTTTTTTGTTAAATTCAGTTATAGTGTTGTAGAAGTCTGTTCCTAGCTGGGTGTGGTGGCGCACGTCTTTAATCCCAGTACTCTGAAAGCAGAGGCAGGCAGATCTGAGTTCGAGGCCAATTTGGTCTACAGATTGAGTTCCAGGATGGCCAGGGTTACACAGAGAAACCTGTGGGGTGGGGTGAGGTGGGGTGGGTCGTCTCTGAAAAGTGTCCATCCCTGTTGGAAAAAAATGCAAAAAGTTAAAATTTTGGTGTTTGCATACAGAGTTTTTCCTTGAATTCTGGGTCTCATAGGTGGTGGTGGTGGTGGTGGAGCTATGCCATTCCTCCAGCTTTGGTGTAAGTATTTCTCAAATTCTTTTAAAGCAATGTAACTTCCTGGGGGGAAAACGCCAAAACCACAAAATGGGCTTTATGTCTGCAGTGGGAATTACTTAACTACTTAAGAGCTTTTCCCATGTGTTTTTTTTTTTTTTTTCCTTCTTTTAAATGGGATCTTTGCCTTATTATCTCCCTTCTATGAGCTTCTCTTACAAGAGTCAGTGTCTGGGTCACAAGTAAAAGATGCCATCTAATGCTGGGGGATATGCAGTTGAGAATCTGGGTGTTTTCATCCCTCTCCTCAGGTAAGTTTGAAGAATACCTGTTTGAAATTGGTGGAAAGGGTTCCTTCAAACCTTTGGGGACTCCGAGTCTTCTAAGAAAGGCTGGCATTTCCTGAAGGGCCCAGGAGCTTTTCTGCTCTCCTCTTTTCCTTTCTTCGAAGGCTCTAGGCCACAGATGTGTGTAATACTAGATCCCAGGTCTCCAACCTTTTCATTCTTGAGCCAACCCCCAGACTTCACCAGTTACCTGGGGCAGAATGAGGTTGTACCAAATTGAGAAAAGAATGTGTGCAAAGAGCCCACTCCAGGATCCAGCTCACCCTTGAATCTTAGGTGATACTCAACCCCATCCCTATTTTCTTTACTCATAAAGTGGCATCCTGTGAACTTGGCAGGGGGTAGGGTGGGGTTGGTAACAGCCAATGGGGTAATAGGAAGATGCTCCATAGATGACCTCTTGAGCAAGTACAGTTGAAAGGATGGTGTCCCTTCAAGTGCATTTACATGTTCTCAAGAAGGATTAGTGGACTGGAGAGATGGACGGCTCAGTGGTTAAGTACACTGGCCGTTCTTTCGGAGGACTTAGGTTTTGTTCTGAGCACTCACGTGGTGGCTAGCAGCAGTCTGTAATTCCTGTTCCAGAGGATCTTAGCCTCTTCTGGCTTCTGCAGTGTGTGCACAGATATACATGCAGGTAAAACACTCATTTACATACATATATATATATATATACACACACACACACACATATACATACATACACATACATATACACATGCATACACACAAACATTTGTACATGTATGTATATGTAGATACGTATGTATGTATATGTATATATATATTCAATAATTTTTAAAAAGAAGGACTGATGGATTTAGGAGAAATGTCTGACTGGATTTCAGTAATCCCTGGCCCCACAACCTAGACATGTGGCTTGTTGGTTTACCTGCAGTCATTTTCCTCTTATACTGCATCTTCGGAGAATTCACTCTAGAATTTCACAGCCTGCTAAAGTAGTGTGTGTGCTTCACTGTCTTCTTCTGTAAGCTGTTGCCTTTTATTTACTGATATTTCAATTTTTTACTAAATTGAAACTATGTCTGAGTGTTCAGCTTTTGCCTATAATTATAGTGTGTACAGTTTTTTTTTGTTTTGTTTTTGGCTTTTGGTTTTGAGACAGAGTTTCTCTGTGTAGCCCTGGCTGTCCTGGAACTCACTCTGTAGACCAGGCTGGCCTCAAACTCATAGAGATCCACCTGCCTCTCTCTCCTGAGTGCTGGGATTAGAACCGTGTGTAACCACTACCTGGCTTGTGTGTACTGTTTTGTTGTTGTTGTTGTTTTCCTGAGCACCTTCCCAAATGTTTTCCTCACGATCGTTCTCTCTGTTCAATCCCATACTTTTCCTTGTTGCCTCTTTCAGAAGAGAAAGAGCCCACAAGAAAGAGACTAGGAGTTCTGAGGGAAGCGCCTTCTTTGTGTGCACAGGTGCTTGTGGACATACGAACATTGACCTGCCACAGCACAGTGTGGAGGCCCAGACTAACAACTCGAGCTGGTCCTCATCTTCTGTGCTGTGTGATGTGGGCTCTCTTTTGTGGTGGTGGTGCTGAACCCAGGGGTTCTGTAACCAGTACCTGTCCTCCTCTAGGAACACAGGGATTACAGGCGTGCTGCATGTGCCCAGCTTCGTGTGGATTTTAGGTGTTCAAACTCAGGTCCTCTGCTTACATAGCAAGTGCTGCACCCTCAGCCCAGAACTACCAGTTTAAAGAGAACCATTTTCGGGGCGGTGGCGGCGGCAGCGCACACCTTTAATCCCAGCACTCGGGAGGCAGAGGCAGGCGGATCTTTGTGAGTTCGAAGCCAGCCTGGTCTACAGAGCGAGATCCAGGAAAGGCGCAAAGCTACACAGAGATACCCTGTCTCGAAAAACCAAAAAGAAAAATAAAAAAGAGAACCATTTTCGAGGCCTGGAGAGATGGCTCAGTGGTTAAGAGCACTTGCCGAGGACCAGATTTGGTTCCTGGCACCCACGTGGCAGCTCCTAACCATCTGTAACTCTAGTTGCAGGGTAATCTGATGCCATTTTCCAGCCTCCATGGGCACCAGGCATGCACGTGGCACACATGAATGCATGCAGGTAAACACTCAAAACACATAAAATAAAAGAATTTTTAAAAAGAGAATGGGAACCTTTTATTTTTGAATTGTGTCTTTTGAAAAGTCTATTTTGGGTGTGGTGGCACATCCCTGTAATCTCAGTCCTTGGGAAGTGGAGGCAGGAAGATCAGATATTAAAAGTTGGTGTGGTTACACAGTAAGTTTGAAGTCAGCCTGAGTTACGTGTGACCCTGTTTCCAAAAGCAGTCAAGCTTAAAGGTGTCTGTGGCTTTTCTAAATTAAACTACTAATTATTTATCAGCATCAGATACTAACAAGATTTTGTAAGATGTGCTCACAGAGTCGGCCTGAGAAGGATGTGGGCAGTTAGCTATTATTCACCCCTGTGTGGCCAGGGGTGCTTTAAAACTATGATTAAAAAGGCAGGCGTGTTTTGTGGTTTTCTTCTTGTTGTAGTATAGGCAGCTTTCCTTTCTGCTGCTCAGAGGTGGGATCCTGGAGAGCTGGGAATGGGGGAGTGGCCTGTTTGAGTGTGTCACTTTCTCATGTGCAGTGGCCTGGGGAGTGGTGGTTTGCGTGTTTGTGGAGCTGTTTTAGATCAAAATGAAAACATTGAGACACTGGGAGAGACCCTGTGCACTTGAACTTTGGACTTTGGGCCCAAACAATATAGCAAGACTCTGCCTCCCACAACAAACTACGTAAGACGATCCCTTTAATTTACGGAGTTGCTCTTTGTATTTGTAGAAGTTTGGTCCTGGATTCCCTCAGACATGAGAGTTCGTGGGTGCTTAAGTCTTATGAAATGGCAATTTGTATATAACCTGGCACACTCTCCTGGGGTACATTTAGTTTGTTGTTGTTGTATGAGAGTCTGGTGTAGCTGATGCTGGCTTTGAACTCCTGGTCTCCTGCCTTACCCTCATAAGTAAGTCCTGGGAATAGAGCTGTACACCACCACTCACGGCTCCCTCTTGTGTGCTTTAATAATCTCTCCTTTACTTACCATGCTCACTTGCTACAGTGTAGACACTGTGTAAATAGTTGTTATACTGTATTGTTTAAGAAAGAATAGCAAAAGGTAGTCTGCAATGTTTGTTAGGCACAGGCAAGTTTGGTTTCCTTTTTTAAAATTTTTCATTTTATTTTGTATGTGTGTGTATCTGCATGTATTTCTATCATATGTGTGCCTAGTGCCTGAGAAGATGGGAAGAGAGCGTTAGATCCGCCAGAACTGGAGTTACAGATGATTGTAAGTTGACCCGGGTGCTAGGAACTAGACCTGGGCCCTCTGCAAGGGCAGTCAGTGCTCTCTCTGCAGAGCTCTCTCCAGCCCCTCTTGTGTGTTTGCTCTACAGTTACAGAGGGCTTAATTATGAGCTGTCTGTAGTAGAGCCGTTTGACAGTCCTCAGCACAGACTACTAGATCTATTACAGGAGACAAAGTAGCCTTGAATTCCTATGATCTGAGCTGTCTGCGATGGAAGTTTCTCAGTGTTCTCAGAAGAACAAATCCTTTTCACCTTGGAACTTTCGGTTAGGAGCCAGTGGACCTAAAACAACCCACTAATTTGTATTTTATTTACGTTAGTAGGTTAGGAAATAATTCAGTGTTGGGTCTGCGTTTCTAGAGAAATGACAGAAATTCAGAGTAAATGATATGACATTGTATGTAGTGTAATGTAATATATAGTGATGTTGTGTGCACCTGTGCATATTGGATCACAAAAAAATGATGAATTATTGGCAAGTTAGTTTGCAAAGCACTGATTTGTATGTGCCTTTTTAAGCAGAGTAGTTGAACAACCATGAAGTTATTTACTGATGCTTGCCTCTATCCACTGAGTGTCTAAAATAACGTTGATAGTTAGCCATTACTACATAGTGATTGCAGTGGGCCGGGCATGATTTCAAAAGCCTTGTATACAAAAATCACATAGTTTCTAGAACCATCCCACTTTATAGGTAGAAAATTGATACTTAATTTGAACCAGAGCTAGTGAATCTGGAGTCCTTATTCTAAAACATTTCTTTTTGGGAAGACTTTAAAAAAAAAAAAAAAGAATAGGTCTCACGGTATAGTCCTGGCTGGCCTGGAACTCAGTGGTTCATTTCCCTCTTGAGTTGCTGGAAGTGAAGGCAGATGTCACCATGCTAAGGAGCTTTCATGAAGCTCCTTAAAAAAGTAAGAAGACCTAAAGTGTACATGGAATTCAAATTCAGAGTTAATTAATATGCTTCCCTAACTCTTATTCCAGATATGAGAAATGAGTGTTGGACGTCGAAGAATAAAGTTGTTGGGTATCCTGATGATGGCAAATGTCTTCATTTATTTGATCGTGGAAGTCTCCAAAAACAGTAGCCAAGAAAAAAATGGAAAGGGGGGAGTAATAATACCCAAAGAAAAGTTCTGGAAGATATCCAGCCCTCCCCGGGCGTACTGGAACCGAGAACAAGAGAGACTGAACAAGTGGTACAATCCCATTCTGAACAGGCTGGCTAACCAGACAGGGGACTTGTATATGTCTCCTAACACAAGTCATCTGGGCTACTGTGAACCAGACCCAAGGGTCATGACAGCTGTGACAGATTTTAATAATCTGCCGGACAGATTTAAAGACTTCCTCTTGTATTTGAGATGCCGAAATTACTCACTGCTTATAGATCAACCGAAGAAATGTGCAAAGAAACCTTTCTTACTGCTGGCAATTAAGTCCCTCATTCCACATTTTGCCAGAAGGCAAGCAATTCGGGAGTCTTGGGGCAGAGAATCCACCGTGGGGAACCAGACAGTAGTGAGAGTCTTCTTGTTGGGCAAGACACCCCCCGAGGACAACCACCCTGACCTTTCAGACATGCTGAAGTTTGAGAGTGAGAAGCACCAGGACATTCTCATGTGGAACTACAGAGACACATTCTTCAACCTGTCCCTGAAGGAAGTGCTGTTTCTCAGGTGGGTGAGCACTTCTTGTCCAGACGCAGAGTTTGTTTTCAAAGGTGATGATGATGTGTTTGTGAACACTCATCACATCCTGAATTACTTGAATAGCTTATCCAAGAACAAAGCCAAAGATTTGTTTATAGGTGACGTGATCCACAATGCTGGGCCTCATCGGGATAAGAAACTGAAGTACTACATCCCAGAAGTCTTCTACACTGGGGTCTACCCACCGTACGCAGGGGGAGGTGGATTCCTGTACTCTGGCCCCCTGGCCCTGAGACTGTACAATATAACTGACCGGGTCCACCTCTACCCCATAGATGATGTTTATACTGGAATGTGCCTTCAGAAACTGGGCCTTGTTCCAGAGAAACACAAAGGCTTCAGGACATTTGATATTGAAGAGAAAAATAAAAAAAATATTTGTGCATATATAGATCTAATGTTAGTACATAGCAGAAAACCTCAAGAGATGATTGATATTTGGTCTCAGTTGCAAAGTCCTAATTTAAAATGCTAAGGTACATCTGCGCTACCTACGTTTCACACAGAGGCCTATCCTGTCTAGTTCCCACATTGTGCTTTCACAGTAGGGCAACTTCTGTGTGAAGCCATCAGCCTTGATGAGTAGCATCTGGGCCTTCAAGCCCTTCAGTTCCACACCTTTGTGGCCAGAGAAAAGCTGAAGATAATTCACCATGGCAGGATGATTAGTTCTGACCCTTCTTCTGGCTGCCGGTCCTCAGTTTCTAATTTTTCCTTCTCCAAAATCAAGTTTAGAATTTGACCATGAAGATCTTTTTTTGTCCTTGTAATGGTATACTCCTGTTTCCATTATAACTGATTGGCTAATTTTGATTTTGTAGGGCATGATCTGGTGTTTTTGTGAAATGGAATTATGTTTGTTTTCATAAGATTTTGGTGGATTTTTAAAATTGTCTAGAAAGTAGACTGATGTCAAAATTCCTGTCACCCCAACAGTATTCTCCTTGTTATTAGAACCCGTCACTTTCTTGACAAAGGAAAGTCACTGTGCAGCATGCGCAGTTCATCTTGTCCGGCCTTGGGCCATGAGAAGGGCAGAGGGTTTTCTTTTCCTTGTGTTTGATTTGCTGGGTGGCATCATGATAGCTGACCCAGTTTTAGTATTTTGGAAATCCTGAGTGTGATTCTCTAATGGCCAACTGAAGACTGAGTAGCCCGACAGCCATATGGGTTTGTGAATGTTCACTGTGGGTCAGGGAAGCATTTGTGACTTTTGAACTTGAAATGAAAAGATTGAATTTGAAGGCATTTGCTTATGTGGTTTGTCAATTTAAAACTGCAGGACTCTATTCTTGCCATATTCTCACACTTTGCTTAGATGAAGCTCTTCGGGTAGTGATGCTTCCCTCTCTGAGTGTAGAAGTGCCTGTGTTTTTATTTATTGTTCAGATCAAAGACCAAAACATTTTCTTAAAAAATATTTTGTGTAATATTTTATTTGTATACAGTGTTGTTTGTGAAATATTTAACTAGAGCATGATATTTTATTTTATTTTTCTCATTTTTTAATTAGTTTTTTGAGAATTTCATACAACGTGTTTTGATCACATTCACTTCCCCCAACTCCTCCCAGATCCAGCCCCCAGCATGATGTTTTAAATGTTAAGCTGTAACATATGTTGAATAAAGTTAACTCTTATTTTTGAATTTTAAAATTTGGATTGGGGGGTATGAACTGCTACAGTCGATAAAGTTCTGCCAAATTACTGCTTACACCTTGTGTCTTGTAACATGCTTTCTTGAAATAGTTTTGTGTTTTAGAGGGTTCTCATCTGTGCTACTGGGGACTGGGGAAAAAAAGGGGAAATAAAGTGACTGTATTTTTTAATTATCATGTGTAATAATTATCTTTCTGTTCTTGTTTTCTTGTGTTTTATTATATCTTTCCCAAGCCCTCTCTCCCAGAAACCGTTATATTAACTGTCTATCTCTGGGTTAGCCACTGCTGCATCTCTAGTCTCAAAATGCTTCACAATTAAGTCATGGAAAGGTACTGTTTGTGGCTTCCTGGCAGCTGTCCATCCCAACCAGTGCTTGCTCTCTGAGAACCGCACTCTGTGTAGTCCTGGCTGTCCGGGAGCTCACTATGTTGGCCAGAGCTGCTGCTGCTCCTGCCTCCAGAGTGGTTGAGTTAAAGGCGTGCACTCAGCTGTAACCTGCCTGGAGCCCTTGCATCCTAAGTGTCTGTAAGAAGGACCCAGACACTCCCATCCAGCGGCTTGCACTGTTTTTCCCAACTTGTCAACTACTGCACACCTCTGTGCCCTTCAGAGGCCTGCCTGATACTGACTAAACCATTTTACTGACTTGAGTAACCCAGATCTGGAGCACTTGCTTCTGTCACTTTCTTTAAAAACATGTGAGAAGTATAGAAAACTCATGCCCTCTCCTTGACTTGGGACCTTTCAGAAGCACACTCTAAGGTGAGGCTTCTAGTGTGTGTAGTTTTGGACCTGGGAAGGGAAGGCAGCTGCCTTCTGAGAACCCTGGAGGGAGTGCAGAATGTATGCTCACAGTATATGAAGCCAAGGAAGCTGGGCTGTTTTCTAAAACAGCTTTGTCGATGGCGTAATTTTTCACAAAGTGTGTACAATAACTTAAAAAAAAATGGGCTGCAGGGTTACACAGCCACTCTTACTATAATGTACTCCAACAGAAATTTGGTTGAACCCTGACAAATGTTAGCTTTCTATAGGATTTCTGTTTATTTGATAGTCGTACTATGTGGCTTAAGGTGCCCTTAAGCTATTCCCGTCTCAGTTTCTCAAATGCTGAGGTTACAAGGTTTGAGGCACCATGCCTGGCTGTAGACATTTTTCTCTTGCTGTTTTTGCTTTTTAAAACACTTTCTGGGAGCTGGGGTGTAGTTCACTCAGTAGAGAGCTTGCCCATTATTCACAGAGCCTTGGAATCAAACCCTGGGGCCAAATAAACCTGGGATGGGGTGTGGTGGCACATTCCTGTGTCCCAGCACTCTCCGAGGTGGAGGCAAGAATATCAGAATTCAAGGACATCCATCCGTTGGCTACAGGAAGTTGGAAGCTAGTCTATGGTACATGAGACACTGTCCCATTCACTTGCACTCCACAAAAAAACCCAGCAATGTCTTGTTTTCTGATTGCTTGTTCCACAGGAACCTGTTGTTTATGAGTTGATGCCAAAAATGAATTTGACTTGAAAGTATTTAATAGTTACCTCACAGTGTGTTGCTAATATTTTCACGGAGAGAATACTAAGTGATCTTGGCATTTTTTTTATGAACTCAGTTGATACGTAAAAATTCATAAGAAGTCTTTAAAACATTCTTTGACATGTATGATGTGTATGTGCACACATGTGTCATGCCACCAGAAGACAACTTTGTGGAGTCATTTCTCTTCTCCCACCTTTATGTGGGTTCCAGGATCGAATTTAGGTGGCCAGGCTTGCTTGGCAAGAGCCTTTACTCAGCGTGAGTGACCCTGTTGGCCCCTCAGGAAATGTTTTGTTTTCAAGTATGTGTACCCCAGGTCTGGCTTCCGTGCTCAAAGGCTGCAGGTGGGTCTCACTGAGTGTGTCTTCCTTTACTTTCATGGATTAAGCAGGTTGGGAGCCTGTGGCTTTGATCTCAGATGCCAGAGCTGCCTTCTGTCCTCTACAACTCCGGTTCCTTCCAGCCTGCAGCTCAGTTGAGGGAAAACCTCTATAGGTAGGTAAGCAGTTGAGCTTAACCTTGACCCAGGTAGTTGTGTGTGCACAGGGTCCATGGGTCTCCCACCTCATCACCCCACTGCCTCCACACCAGGAGCTCCTTTGGGAAAGCACTGTACATCTTCGGCCTGTTTCCGCTTCCATTATCTGTTGATAGAATTCCAAGTGTCTGAGAAACTGGTGGTGCCATCTCCATTGCCAGCCTGCACTGGGTCTTTTGGGATCTTCTCAGTGTGATTTTAGTGAGGGGACAGGCACACTTTCCATTTATTTTCCTCCGCTGGGAACACTCAGGTCATGTTGTCATTCCTGACCTCTGTAGTGGCTCACATCATTAACCACCCCACCTAGAAACCCCTGAGTGATGACATAGCAGCGCCATCTGGGGCCTTTGTTCCTTGTTGGCTCCTTAGTCCCGATGACAGCCTCCTCCTTGGATACATCAGGTCTCCTCGGCTCCTTGGGCTTGGACACCTGACATGTAAAAATTCCTAGGAAGTCATTTTTAAATGATTGTGTTTCCCTTCCGTCAGTCCACTGTTTAGTCTTCCTTTCTGGGAGGCTGTTGGCCCTTTAAGCCAATAGGAAATCTTCCGTATGCACTCCCTCCGCACCCCTGCCCGGCGGCAGCGGCCTTGCTCTCCCTCGCACCCCTTCCTTGGTGGTTGAACCTCTACAGAGTTTTCTTCTGAAGTGCAGTAAGGACTCTGAGGAGTCCCACATGTCTCATGGGCTTTCTGGTGACAGTGCCTGCCTAGCAGTGGCCTCTGGCCCTGTCTTCATCCCACTCCCGGTAACCGAGGAGGAGACTTGGTATGAAAATGGAAGGGCTTCCATTTTCTGATTTAAAATAACTTGTCTGACTTTCTCCCTTTTTCCTTTTTGTAAACCTGGGGATCCTCATGGGTGCCAGGCATTCTACCATGAAAGCATATACTTACCCGCCTCCCCATTCTTAACCTGAGGAGGGTTCCTGCCTAGTGGGTAGGCAGGGAGTGGGGCACACACCTTAGCTCTCCGTGGACTCTGTAGCTGGATCATCCCCTCAGATCAAGGCAAGAATGTGTTGTCTAAGGTCAGCGCCTGTGTGTCCCTTGGATCAGACCGTTCTTTCTTGACATGTTGGCACCTGTCCGGTCAGGGTCAGCCTCCTCTGTCCTCTACAGTGAAGGAACTGCCCCTTGTCTGACTGTCTCGGAGTGGTGTCTGCTTGTTGTTACCCTGTTATGACTACTGGAATTGACCTGGAAGGACCAGCAGCAGAGCTCTCCCCTGGCTCCTCCACACTGCCACAGAGACCAATAGCTGGAGGTGACTTTGAGAAGGAGGCTCCAGGATTCATTCAGTTACCCGAGCCTGCCCAACAGCTCTTTCCTGGGGTGGGTGGGAGTGGCCAGGCTCCCCATGTCTTGTCTGATTTTACCCACGATCTCCTTGGACCCTAGAGAAAACCCCAGGTCTTGCCTCCCTTTAAGTTAGTGATCCTCTGTGGCTCTCCCCCTCATTTAAGGGCTCAAGGCAGTTAGGGTCAGGATGGCTTCTTCCCACTGTAAAACATGGCACAGGATTGAGATGAGAATGACCGTGTGTACACTCTGCTGGACGGAGAAGGGAGGCTGCAATGTAGAGCTGTGCTGGCAGAGCATAACACCAGCAAAGCGAAAGTTGCAAGGAACGCACCTGGACAGAGACCCAGCGCGGGACAAGCCACAGACCTGCCTTGTTTTGGCTCTTGTAGTCCTGCATTCCAAGCTGCCCCTAAGGCCAGAGCTCAGACTCTCTGGCGGCAGAATTGTCCTCCTGCCTGGGGAGATGGAGGAGCCCAGGCACACAGGGAAAAAAAAAAAAAAAAAGACAGTAATCAAATGTGGGCACACGTGAGCTGCTCACATAGCAACAGCCTCACATTCTTGTTTTTGTCTTGTGGGAAATGAGAAATGAGTAGTGCGCATTGGCAGACATAATTGGGCTAAACCTTGGTGGGGAATGCCCTTATTTATCTGATTGCAAAAGCTTCAAGTGAGTCACCATGGAAGGAATGAAGGGGGGTGACTGGTGTGCTGTCTAGAAGGCTAGAGAACTGTTTTTTACTCACAGACCTGCTGGATCCAGGAATAAGATGTAAAGCAGCCCGTTGGGGAGCCTGCTGGCTCTCAGCTGGGAGGGAGGGCCACTTCATGCTTGAAGGCAGGCTCTCTGCTGTTCCCACCTTCAGAAGTGGGCGAGGTACTTACGTAAGTGCTCAGCCCCTGTAGTTGAGTACAAGCCTAGCTAACAGATCAGAGCTGTGAAACAGAACAGCTACAAACAGCCAAGGTGGTTGTGCTGGTATGTGCCGGTAAGGCCAGCCCGAGCTACCTAGTGAGACCCTGTTCCAACAAAACAACAGTAAAAAACCTACCCCCTGTGTCATATTTTAAATAAGAAGTCAGAAAATTTAAAAGTATGTTCTTTTTTTATCCCAGGACACTGTTCATTGCCAATAGACTAATCCAGTGAGCTTAAATGTCTTAAGTGACTTATTAAGTGACTCATTTGGAAAACCTGAAATTAAAAAATAATCTAAAATGTAAAATTTTATCTTATGTATATGTGTGTTCCTGTGTGTGTGTGTATGTGTGTGTGTGTGTAGGTACCCACAGAGGCCAGAAAAGGGTGTCAGATCCTCTAGAGCTGGAGTTACACACAGTTGTAAGCAACCCAGCATAGGTGCTGGCAACCAAACTGGTCCTCTGAAATGAGTACAAGTGCTCTTAAAAAAAAAATTAAGATTTGTTTATCTTGTTATTTAATGTATATAAGTGTTTTGGCTTCATGTATGTTTGCACACCATGTGCATGCCTGGAGTCCATAGAGGTTAGAAGAGGGAATGTGTTAATAGAGAGTTGTGAGGTACCATGTGGATGCTGGAGCTTGAACCCAGGTCCTCTGTAAGATCAACAAATGTTCTTAACCTCTGAGTTATCTCTCCAGCCCCAGTATATGCTCTTAACAGCTGAGCCATCTATTTAGTCCCCCAATTTTTTTTTAAAAACGTGTGTGTGCACTATTGCCTGAATGTATGTATGCGTACCACATGCTCTAGGAGCCCAGGTAGGTCAGAGAGGTGTCAGGTCCTCTGGAACTGGAGTTACAGTT